GAGGGAGGGAACAACTCACCGAGGTAATTAGCCCGCTCACAACGTCATAAACCAACGCAGCTTTTTGTTTCCAGTGAGAAACCGAGAGTCCCTGAAGGCTCTTTTCCCGTATCAGTGTGGCAAGTGTAGCGGCGATTTTGGCTACTGCGGGAAAGCGGTGGCCAAAGGGGGAGCGCGGGGCGCCCCGGCGAGTGGCAGCAGGCGTTAGCGCCAGACACGAACTACAACTCTTCAACTCATGCTGTACATCCCTGCGTAACCTACGCCAAGTGGCCAACGCGAGGCCTGGCCGGGCTAGCACCCGCCGCGGGGTGCCCACCCCGGCACAAGGCTGGCTCCTGGGGCTGTAGGGAGGCTGTTTTTGGGGGCAGCCTCCTCCCACCCGGAGGATTTGCAGCTGCGGGCTGGCAGAACCACGGCGTGAGGGTCCGGCTGGTGTTCCAGCCTTTCCCAGCACAGAAAAGCCCATGGGGAACGTCGAACAGAGGGCAGTGTCTGAACTGGGAACGCTCTGCGGGAAGAACCACCTCAGCCACTTGCGCTAAGCTGTGCGGTTAGTGGTAATTCAGTATCCTGGATACAACTGCTCTTAATTACCCATTTTAGCCTGGACTACAGCCAAATTACACCCCGGATAAATCACCTCATGCTACGGTGTATGCTAGTTAACGTGTAACCGTCTCTCCACCTTTACACCTCCCTCCCTCCCACCCACCCTAATTGGAAAAAGACAAGAGTCCAAACTCCAACAGCCTCTCTAGTTTTATGTATACCAGACCTAACCGTACCTCTCCAGGTTTCACACTCTGATTGCTACCCCTATTAACAGACGTTAATTGATCCGAAGACTGCCAGACAGCCTCTCCAGAGCATCCCTGCCTCGGTCAAGAGCTGTACCAGGACCTGAATTCCCAGCTCGCAGCGCATCGTGCTACTGCATCCACCCGGAATGCAGCGGGCTGACAGCCGGCTCGGCTGCCCGTCAAATCCACCAACACTACACTACGGTTTGAGTTTAAAGCAAACCCATCATTTTCCTTTGCAAAAACAGATCTATCACCGCGGCTAAGCAAGCTACACATGACAGAGTGGTAGGGTTGTACATCCCAGTCCCCCACAGCTGAGGTATCCTACGAGGAAGCAGAAAAACAAAAGAGAGCACTGTGCTGCTGCCAAAGACTTGGCAATAACGCAGCAGTCACGGCCACCTCCTACAAAAGTTGTTCGGGAAGGGCATAGCTCTGTGTGAAAAAGGATTTGTTCGCTATTGAGTATGTAACATCAGGTTTGTGGGCCAATATGAAGGAAAAAAAAAAAAAAAGCACAATATGGGTTCTTTTCTGTTATTAAAACCAAATTCAGCCAGGTGTAGTGCATATCTGGAGAAAGCGCGATCTTTCTCTGTGCTGAAACACGTGCTGCAAGTTAAACAAGGCTGTGGCGGTGCGGGGAAGCAGAGCGGTGGTTAGTGGGCACTACGACAAGGGAGGGGGAAGAGAACAAACCATCCCAAACCACGGCACCCTCAGCCACCTCCTTGTGGCCCGGCCGGGGCCCGTGGCACACACCCACACATCACAAAGGAGCTCTCGCAGAACGTTTCACCAGGTGCCTCCTCCACTCTGACAGTCCATCCTGTGGCCAGCCGTCGGGGCGCAAGCGGTGGGAGCGTTTATGGAAGCACTGGACCGAGGCTGAGCTCCACATGATGGGTGAGCCAGATGACCTCAGAGGTATGCTCGCCATCCTCGCTGGGCCGGATTGGAGCAGCGAGGTTTTTAAACTCGTGCTTCATCTTGAAACTCACGGTCACTTCGCCCTCTTCTTTCTGCGGGGTGACCTTGATGAAAACTCCTACCTTATTGGCTTTTCTGAAAGCGATAACGCTGCAAGGCAGAAAACAAAAGAACGCTAGGTCAGCCAAGTCCTCAAACAATTGTTCCGAGAGATTTATTCCAATACCATGTAACAGGGATGCTCAGTTTATGGCTGAGTATGCCCCACTAGAACAGCTGCCCTGGTTTCTAGCTGACTCCCCGCTGCTGCTTTTGCAGGGGGCCCACATTCCCCCCCACCGCACAATCAGAACACGGGTACCCCCTTTAATCTGTCAACTGCTGGCACATCCACCGAACAGAACACTCCTGCTTTGGCGGTGGGAGTTACAGGCCACCCAGCGGTGCAACAGGGAAGGGCCACAGTACGCAGCTCAAGTTCCTCTGTAGGAGGCGGCAGAACATACCCCATTTTGAAGGCTGGAGGCAACTCTGTCACCCACCCTACTGTGTAGTTCTCACCGCTACCCTGAACCCTCCGCTTGCCAAGGAAAGGATCCCACAGAGTATTCCTGGAGAGAACTAGTACCACCACCTATAACTCAACTGCTGTAACAGCACACCTTGCCTCAAAGGGAACAAATGTCTCCCGTATAGTCCAAACCACAAGCAGAAAAATTTGCATTGCTGATATCGGACCCCCCAAAAAAAACCCAATCCCCCGCACAGGAAAACCTTAAAAAAACAAAACCAAACCAAACATGTTGGAGACAGAGAGGAAAGGAAGCTACTTGGTTGAAGTGCCAAGGATTTAAGGGACAGGGGCCCCACAGAACTGACGACACTCACTCAGGGTCATCCTGGAAGTCTTGAGGTTCTGCCAGTTCATCATATTCTGCCGCAGCATCTTTGCCAGCTAGAATAAGCTCCTTGGGAGGAACTGCCACCTGAAACAGAGCATGAAGAGAAGAAGCCTTTCAGCACTGATCACCACCTACACTATGAGCAGCCTCTCCTTCTGAGGGCTGCTTTACTATGGTTTAACAGAAAAAATGATTCATCTTGGGCTTTGCTCCGCTCCGGTACCATCTGGTTACCACTCTACCAGTGAAATCATGTATTTCTCTCTTGGGTTCTGCATCTCAATAGAGAGAGACAATTTCAAAACACTTTATAATCTGATGTTTATATTGGTGACAGTTATTTAAGCTCCAAAGAGGACCGAGGACCAAAGGACATATGAAAAGTGTGATGTGTGGAAGGATAAATGGAAGTGGCAAGCCTTGGAAGAGGCCTGGGCTCGCACAGCAGGAGGGTACGATACCTTGGCAGTGCTGTTGACGTTGTCAGGGTCTCCTTCTTCGCACTCCAGCAGTGTGACATGTGTGATGTTCTCCACTGGATTGGTGAGAGTCAGAAGGACTTGGCTCTCCTGGGAAGATTCAGGAATCACAGTTCAAGAAGCACTTACTCTAAAATTCATCGTTACTGTTAGCACCTCCATCTTCTGTGACTGATCAATACCTTCAACAATTGCATCACATACACTGAAGGGATGGATAGCGAACACCCCCAGTCCGTAAGAAAGGTGCCAATGTCATGCAGCATTCTTTCTTAATAGAAGAAATACACGTCTTTGAAATCTAGCCATGATCTCAACTCCGCACCTTTTATTCTTCAGATATTGGCATGTGCTTGTGATGCCAAACGTCACACTGCACAGTAATCTGCTCAGAGTGACAAGTACACGCAGTATTATTCTGACCGCTCCCTTAAACCCTGCAACCTCTCTAAAACGGAGTGAGCAAAGCCCTCAGGGAACAATCATCACACCATGTCATCTTCCAAAAGATCCCACATCTACACCTCCCGGCTGCATCTCACCCCAGGACATCTCTGGAAAAAAGTACTGACCTTCATGTAGCGCAGGTTGGGAATAGACATGATTCTCACTTCAGGGATATAGTTACTACAACAAGAACAAAGCAAACAACCATGATGGACTGTGTTGCTGTCTGTAACCTACCTCTTCAAGCAGAGGCATGTCTTCACAGACATCCAGCTAACTTGTTCAATGCTATAGAGCTTAGCTTACGTTAAACAGAAAAATGAAGAGCCTTTTTGCTATATAAGTCTAATCCTACAAAATCCTGCTAGTCTGTGGGGCTGGCACAGCATGCAATGTCTTTTTCAAACTGCTGAAATCTTCAGCAAACTTTTTGGAAGATCAGGAAGCAAACCTACAGATAAGCTGCATATATTAAAAAGGTGATTACGCCACCCTAAGAGATGACACAATCATACAAGAGGTCAAATGAAGAGTACAAAAGAAATGAAAACAGAAGGCATTAACTAAGCACAGATAGGCGGTTGTTCTCCCCAGCCCCCATATCTTACTTACACAGCAACCAGCTGGATCTTGAATTTGATAGATGTTGGATTGAATTCCGGTTTGCTCAGGTTATGTTCACATTTCTAGAGACAAAGACATTTTAGTCAGCACACAAAGACAGTGTGCAGTCACAAAGTAAAAGAGTGAGAACTACAAGCACCGTGGCACTAGCCGCAGCACTACTGGCCTCTAGCACAGCGCAGACAAGAACTACCTTGGGGTGTATGTAGCCACTGCTGTGTCAAGTCATTGATACTCTGAAAATATCATAACCAGCAATATCAATGCAATCTCAGAAACACGAGGTTTGGAACCTGGCTTAAAAATACTCAAGACGCTCACTGACTGCAGCAGGAAGAAGGCACAAATACCTGCAGGCCCTTTGACTTACACTTCAGAAACCATTAAAAAACCCAAATTGTTGGAACTCAAGACTGATCTCCTCATAGGCTACTCTTCAAATATAGGTTCAGCCTGACATTACTTATTTCTGACAAAATATTCTGCATTTGCAAAGCATTTTACATCTTAAATACTTAGAAGAATATTGCTCTGTTACTCTGGGAACTAGACAAATATCCCTGTTTCACATATTGCTCTGTTACTCTGGGAACTAGACAAATATCCCTGTTTCACTGAGAAAGCAAGCACCTATTTGAAGACCATGTAATAAGCCAACCGCAGAACTTGGATTTAATTCTTGCGCATCTTCACTTCCCAGCTCTACGCTTTTCTTCTCTGAAATAGTCTCCTTTGCCTTCACTCTAAGGCATCTTCAGTATTCTGCACTGCCTCTCACTCATATTTTGTTTGCTGACTTGATTTTTGTCTTTAGTAACAGCAGAAACTTTTTAATTCTGAATTTAATTATGTTTAATTTAATTCTGAATAATTATGTGAACCCACCTTTGTATCTTTATGTATTTTTCACAATGTTGTCCCCCTTTCACAATCTTCATCACGTCAGAAATGCAACAGCCTCCCTCATCTCCTAGCACTGTTACCAGTAATTTGGTTGAGAACTTCCAACAACCAGAAGCATGTGAGATGTTTCTTTTAAAAAGAAATACACAGCCCACTTCCCACAATCCCAGTTCTATGGGCCTAGAAAAAGCGCTTTTTTGTATTTAATTACCCACCCGACAGCGCAGCGAGCGTTTGATCAGGAGATGCTTATGACGTGGGTAGAGTTGGGACGCACAGATCGGCTGGAAGTCAGGCTGCAGCAGACGCTGACGCAGAGTCGTCACTGGGTGCACAACAAAAAGCAAGACCAAATTATTGTCTCTCTCAGGCCATGAAACTTGAGCTAGATTGTACACATGCACTGGCCTAAAAGCAAGTATGCAGACATGCTACAATCTCTAAGAAACTTAATTTCGCCTGCATCAAATAATTCAGAAGCCACTGGTAAGTATCACTGTTTCTAGGAGTGAATGAATAGAAGAGTTGTATGAAGGGCTGCCCTGACTGGGCATGGTAACACTAGAGCAACATCAGGGCCAGCCCAGGAGAAACAAGGGACCTTGATCTCTATTCAAAGCTCAGCTGGGGTGGAAACAGAATTTTGTAATCATCTAGAAAATAAATTCTTTCCTCCCCAAGGGCAAACGAGTTTTCATAGCTTTGTTACCCTCACAGCTGGGTGCTGCACGAGTACAATACACAGCTTCGCAGCAAGGAGTCAGCATAACTCAGACACACACAGAATTAGTGACTACAGAGTTCCCAAGGCAAAGAATTCCAGCAGCCAAACTTCCCATGGGTTTCTCCCAAAAACCAGGCTCCTCACTGTCCCCAGTGTCTAACAGGCAGTAAGCCACCTGGCAGCCTTTCCCTCACTGCGGGGAACCACGGAAGTTGTCTTCTTTACCAGCATCATACTCTCACAACACTGACAGTCTCATGAGACAAGGAGACCACGATGATCTACCCCTTTCCATAAACCTTTCACGAATTAATTAATATTGGCAGACTTTGTAGGCCTGCAGGACTACCAAGAACATCTGTCCTACTTGGAGCCACTTCAGCAGAAGTCCACATCGCTTCCTGTACCTGCTGTTTCATCCCATTTACTCACAAGTTTCATCGACCAATTTACGATATTTGCTGATTAAATTGTGAGCCAGCTAAATAACTGGCAAGTATATGCAAGTTGTTCCAAGCTGATGTCAAAGTAATGCGCAACTGTTACTTAACAATTCAGGTTTGGTTCCAACTCCCCAGTAGCTCAGCTACTTCCTTATTTCCTGCTATTATTTGAAAAAGGGCGTCAGCTCTTTTCTCCATTCAAAAGTTGACACTTCACATGCAGAGAAATTAAAGTCAGTGAGAAAATGAAACAACCATTAAGAGGCCTGACGTATTTGGCTCTGAGCTTCTCATGTACAAAACAAAGCTGAGGCTGCATTCAAAGTTACCATTTTAAAAAGTCACAAATGTCCCACCATTTCAATCCCAGAATAAAAATTACTAAAACCTCGGGCCATCAGGAAGCCCACTGACAAGTTTCCAGGCGCTGCCCCTGTTATAAAATGTAAGGGCAAAAGGTGACAGAATATTAAGGTGTTACCTTCTGTCAGATTGATTGGTCTTGTGTAGTAATCCTCAGGAAGAGGTTCCACTTCTTCCACTGCATCAGCTGGCTCAATCTTGATCTCCTTCTGGTCCTCTCCTTCTTTCAGCCTGAAGCAAAGTGAGGGACAACTCAGTCACAAAACATGGCACATATGCTCTGACAGACAGGAACAGCAGTAACTGCATTATAACACAGAAGGCAGCGAGAGCCGAGGTTGGAAGACAATAGTAACTGCACAAGGAGGTTAGCAGTCACTTGTTTCTATTAACAGAAAGCAAAACATCTGGAGCAGCTGCACAGAGATGCCTGAGGACCTGACATCTCTCTAACACTCCAAAGAAAAAAAGCTCTTTTCACTGCTCTCTGCTAATACGGTTCATCATCTTTTTGAAGTTGTTTTATTGCTCTCTTGCCTACACCTCCTATCCTTTCCGCAAAGGTAACCCCAACCCTGAGACTCACGAGAGTCCAGCGAGGGCACTGATCGGTGCACCGGGCCTCTGGCGCTGAAGCCTGGTTCCCAAGCCATATTTGTCCTACAAGGGAAAAAGAACTGTCAGCTTCAGGTCTGCTTTCCATCAGGACAAAAAGACCTACTGCAAACTCATCCTTTGAGCTGCATGACAAGCATAGGGAGACAAGCAAAGGAAAGCAAAAAGGGAAAGGTATTCAGTGCTTCCCAAGATTTTTTCTTCTGCTCAAACTGTTAGTAAGGAGAAAACAACTACCACAGCACTGCACTGGGAGAGACAGATGTACGTGGCTACTAATTATAAAGCTTTTGCTCTTTCCTTAAATCACCAGCCTGCACTACTGACACATTTTTCCCTTGATCTTCTCTTCAGAGCAATTGCATGTCAAGTAGTGCAGAGTGAGAGCTCAGCTGGCAAAAGAACTGGGTCGATGTGGGTACACTTCCATCTGAAATGCTCTGTAGCACTGCTAGAAGCAGCTGGAAGGTTCAACCTACAACAAGCCTCGTCACCTACAGGTCTGCCTTGCCAGGCACCACCAACTGGAAGGAATAGCCGAGCTGCTCCTCAGCTTTCTACAGCTGGACTGTACACAGGGTGCTTGGAGCCAAAAATCTTCCTTCTGGGCAGGACTGAAAACACAAATTCTGACCAAATGAGAAATCAAGGCATCAGCCTACCCTGGTGATTTTTCATGGATCAGAAGACTAATGTTAGTGCCATTTGCCTCGGGCAGACAGCTGGCTGCGTCTCAACAAAGTTTTGTGAAGGACTGCTTTTCAAGTGTGTGTTACTTACCCGAAGACACTGCCCTGTTTGTAAGCTAACAAAAAATATTTTTTTTAACAGATGTTACCCTCTAACTCATTAGCCTTCAAGTGCATTTGTTCTAGGCACATCCAAGCCGGAGGCCCTGAGGCAAGGTGAAGAGTAGGATCTGTTACTGCCCTTCAGTTGGTACCATGAGAGCTTTAACACCAGCAGAAACTGTGAAAAGACTTACCACTACGTGTATAGTGTGTTGCTGTGGAGAGCCCCCAAAATAGCAGCAGGTAGCAACGGAGACAAAAAATGCAGCCATAAGACACAAGCAAGGGCACAGAGCAAGCACAGTTAATTGAGAAGTAGCAAGCATATGCAGTGTCACCAGCTAAACAAAGTAAGCATTTACCTGCCAGTTACAATAAACAAGTCATTCAGGCCACAACCAAGCCTTAAGGTTAATTTCAGTTGAGACTTCATGCAGAAAAGTGCCAGACAACCCTGATCTAACTGTTACTGAGCTGTGGTATGCAGTTGTCCTGAGAAAGAGCTACTGGTATCATGACTCCGTTTGCACTGCATTTCACTGCTGGATAGCATATTCCTTTGCATGGTAAATATGAACCCTTGATGAATATGAATATGGCATTATCAGGGAGGACTATTAGAGAGAAAGGCAATGTAATACATAATAATGGGTGTAAAACTACTTGTCTCTAAAGAAATCCATGAGCCCTAGCACATTTTCTTCATGTTGTTCTCAATAAAATAAAATTTTAAAAAGCTGAGTAGCCCTATCGTGCTACCAACTATCTAATTTTCCAAGCTGAGGTAGTTATGTATCACTTTTCCTGCTCTGAGAACACTGTACTCCCAGCTCACCGAAAAGGCCAGGGGCATGTAGTTTCGGCGCCGCACTAGCTTCTTCCGGTCCCGCTCGATCTTCTCTTTCTGAGCCAACTGCTGATAGTACTCTACCAGTTTGTTAATCTGCAGGGATGAAAAGGAACAGATATGCAGTGAACGGGGAACAAACACCAGACCAGCTGCAGTATTTGTTTGTGGAAAAGCTGGGGTTCCTGCTACTTATTTCACTCTGTTCCTAGTACTAGCTCTATTTTGAATGAACTGACCCTCCTTTGGAAATGACATCTATTGGAGAGCAGTGTCCAATTCTCACTTTGCAGTCCAGCAACTGAGACTTTGTTCGTGTGTTTTCCATGACTGACAGAGTAGTCATGTGGCCAAAACCAAGCAATTTGGATTAATGGAGCAAACAGCATCTTTTCCCCCCACTGAGGCTGATCACATGTAGTGTAGAGCCCTAACTGGTGACAGGGAAGGGTCGTAAAGGTGCAGCTCTGTTTTCCAGATCCTAGACACATTCCTGATTGGAAAACAGCTTTTTTTTTTTTTTTCACATACATACACAGCATATTCATTGGTGTCGTTTTAACAGCACTATCAGATAGGACGTTTTCAACTGAGTTTCTTCTGAAAAGGAGATATTATACTGCGATATCCACAGGAGAGCCTCTAAGAGGCCTTCCTTCCATTCAATTCAGTCAAGGTGGAGATTAGGAACTGGAACTGGTATCTGAAGGATTATATAGATGCAGAAAAAGTGATTGAGAGGGCCTGGTGTCTCTAACAGCTCTTTCTAGCTGATGCGTGTCAGCCTAAGTATCGCCCTCCCTGTCACTTACCCTCTGTGTGTGAGGATTTTCCGGCTCCTGCCAGCCACCGCTAGCTGCACAAGAAAAAGAAAAAACAAAGTCCTCAGAAGACAATTTCCAGAGTCCACACAGAAATCACATCTAACACCCAACTATCTCCATTTTAGTCATGAAATATGACATTCCCTATTTTTGCTACACTTACCATTGCAATTCTTTGAGTTCATGCATGCCTGCCCAAATACATACCTCCGAAAGCTTATCACAGGCAGGTTTGGCCTGAAGGAGCTTCACCAGCTTTTGTACTGTGTTTTTACACAAATGCTGTTTGAGAGGTACTCAAAACAGCACCTAGGAGTCACTTTAGCAGCAGGTACATGAGTTTACAAGAACACTTTCTTCTTACTGGCTTCCTATGACCCTGCATTTTCAACTCCCAGTCTTCAATTACATCAAGACTGGAAGCCAGACGATCTGCTTGGTTTACTCAGCCCCATTTCTGGAGCCTGACAGTATTTTCTGCATGTCTTATGCACCAAGAAATAGATGAAAGCTTTGTTCCAGTGCAGTTGTGAAGAGAAAAACCAAGTACAAACACTAACAACTCTGGCATAAGCCTAAGTGAACAAAAGTGATGGAAAATAAATTAGATGCTTACGCTGTCAGACTGAGTGGCTTCAAAGACTCTGAAGGCACACAAACAAGATCTCAACTGCGGAGCGAGTGGACCAGTTGAAAAAGCCCCTTGTCTGACAGCTTTCTCGCTAGTCAGGTAACACAAGCACGGAATTGGGTCACATGTTGCACTAACTCATCTCAGTTCTTCAGAGGAAACTTCAGCAACAAACTGTTTTCCTGTGAATTTCCAGCTGTGACTCAAAAGCTAGACAGATATTACATACATTGTACAGCCAGAAACTAATCTGATTATCTGTTACCTTCAGAACACGAACTGGACTCCTGCTGTTACTCAGTTTTCTGTCTTTGACTGTCACTTACCAACAGACTTGTCTGCCATGCCCACATCCCGAGAAGTCCAGCGGCAAAATCCACAGGCCAAGTAATATGCTTTCTTCATGGTAGTCT